CTTCGTCATCTTCAGTTACGAAGGGAGCCAGCGCAGCCTTTAGAGTGCTCGCTCAGGACAAGCCGGGTGTCGAGTTCATTTGCCTACCCACTGCCTCCCAGCTCGGCTCTTTGCGTTTATTGATTTATTTTGAGAATTTTATGACAGGTCCATGCCCAGCGCCTGGGGTGCCCGGCCAGGAATGTATGAATATTAAAGAGACTCGCTTCCTGTCTGGGGGGAGGGAGGCTTCCAGTCTCAAGACCTAGAAAAAATAAGATGAATTCCAGAAACATTACCTTTAGAAGTCAGGCTCAGGAAATTCCAAATGGAAAAGAAAATGGACTTATCTGTTTCCCCCAAATCTGCAGTAATCCAAAAGACAGAAAGAAAAAAAAACAACTAAACCCGTTGCTATCAAGACAATTCCGACTCACAGCGACCCTATAGGACAGAGTAGAACTGCCCCATAGGGTTTCCAAGGAGCTCCTGGTGGATTCAAACTGCCATCCTTTTGGTTAGCAGCCGAGCGCTTAACCACTGCGCCACCAGGGCTCCTCTGCAGTAATAAACCAAAAATCAAACCCATTGCCATGGATTTGATTCCAACTCATAGTGACCCTATAGGATGGAGTAGAACTGCCCCCACAGGGTTTCCAAGGAGTGGCTGGTGGATTCGAACTACCAGCCTTTTGGTTAGCAGCCAAATGCTTAACCACTACACCACCAGGGCTCCAATTACCAGCCTTCCAGACTATGATGCACAGAGTATTTCTTCCATGATTTTAAGTGAAGAATCCCTCGAATTACTTAAGCCTAGAGAAATACAGATGATGCTTTTTTTTCCCTCATAAAACGCGCAAAGCAGTGCAAGAGAGAGAACTAAGAAGAAATCAAGGGTCTGAAAGGGATTACAGCCTCCAGGAGTCCAAGGACAGGGAACAATGACATCCCCAGACACTCGGGGGCACAGGCCCATCAGTGGTTGAGTTCACAAACTGATTCATGAGGGTGCCGGTAGGAACAATGAGCGTGTGTGCAGGAGACAGAGACAGAGACAGAGAGAGAGAGCACTTGACGAGATAGATCTGTGGTTGTTGTGAGCTGTTGCCCTCAAGTCAGCCCCCAACTCACGGCGACCCCACGCACAAGAAAACAGTGATGCCTGGTCCCGCTCCATCTCCACGATCAGACGCACAGCAGACCCTCGTGCTCCATAGGGTTTTCATTGGCCGATTTTTGGAAGAAGAGAGATCGCAGCCCTTTCTTGCTAATCCGTCTTAGTCTGGAAGCTCCGCTGAAACCTGTATAGCATCATAGCAACAGGAAAACCTCCACTGAGAGGCAGGTTGAAGCTGCGTATGAGGTGCACTGCCTGGGAATCAAACCTGGGTCTTCTGCATGGAAGGTGAGAATTCTACCACTGCCCCCACAGGTAGACAGATAGACAGACAGATAGATGATAGATAGATAGACAGACAGACAGACAGATAAGGAGCTACATATGACAGATCATTCCAAGGTCAGCCTTTCCCTAAACATTCCCTGCCTTTCCCCTCACCCAGGGGTGGTGGAAGGGGATACAATATGGCCATTGCTCACGCAAGGCTGTTAGAAGCTCAGGAGGGCTGGAGTGGGGTCAAGAACACCTGAGTCCAGGAAGCTTCTCTAGGTCCAGGGAAGGCAGCTTGGGCTCTTTGGTTGTGATTTTCATTTGGTGCTGACGAAATGTCTCCAAGCTGTCAGCCGGGTGTTTGCAAACATATAGGGTCACTATGAGCATGAATCGACTCGACGGCAATGGGTTTTTTAAGACTTTTGGAAAGACTTTAGGCAGACCTGAGGCATGTGGGGGTGGAACTTCCTGGGTGCTGCATTTCGATTCCTGGGGAAAGATCTTAGGTCTCAGGATGAGGGACAGGATGTGTCTTTGTGCCCCTGGTCTCTTCCCTCTGCGTCTTGCTTTCTTGGGAACAGCAGAGCAGGGTGTCAGGACTCCCAGAAGGGGAGAGGAGCTGTTGTAAACTACTCATTTGGAAGGAGCTAAAAATATTCCTACAAATTCTGGCTGTATAAACCTTGGACAAATAAGGAGGATAATTTTTCAAGACTCAGAAAACGTCCTTGAAAGACGTTTCAAAATGAACTGACCCACGAACAATGCCCAGGGGGAGTGACTGGGAAATATTTGGTCAGGGTGTGGCTGTTCATCAGGAGAATATGTCCAGTTCCTCCTCGGGGCGCCATCCCCGGCTCTCGCACACAAGCAGTGTCTTCAGGTGCCTGCCACGCAGGTAAGCTTCCCCAAGAAGGTTTTTAATGTTCTGTATCAACGTCACGTAATTCTTGCTTCCTCCCTTCCCTTCTATGAAGTAACACTTTTCTTTAACCCACGGAAACATGATTCTGGGCTAGATGTAGAATGTAAATCCCAAACTGGTGCCTTCCTAATGTTAAAAAATTTTCATGAGCCCATACCTTCTATGTTCCTTGAAGAGAAAAGGTTTTATTTTCTGATGAGGCAGGAAGTAACAAAAGAGAAAAAGGCAATGCAAACAGTCAGCCAGATGTGATTTTCGTGCCCCCACCCTTTAATGGGACGTGGCCACCGGGCTGTATCCTCCTCCCTTTGACTAAAGACCCCTCAGGTGTCAGTCTACCATCTTCCCTGCTGGGTGGCTGCTACTTGCTGGAGAAATAGCAAGGGTGGGCAGAACAGCAGACACAAATATCTAACGCCACTGGGAGGCTACCAGTTTCCAGTCTTGTTGAGAGGTGAGGTCCTGGCACAACAGTCAGCCCTCCTGAGAGAAGGAGCTTGCTGGCAGGGGCTGGCTTCTTTTACCACCTGAATGCAGAGCACTGGCTGAGTGGATGCACCAACCAGTAAACACACACACTGTGGAAGGCGTTGCTAACTGGGTTTCCCAATACTTTGGTGCAAAGAAGATGAAGACCTCAGCACTGAGTGGCATCCATTTCCACTGAGGACCCACCCTTTCCCAGAAACTAGCCCATTGGGTCTTTCCGACAATTCCCTTTCCCCCTCAGCTCCCTCAGTCTCTCTGCTGGGTTTCTTCATCAAAGTAGATTGAGTGGATTCCAGAAAGCATAGCTCAGGGACTTCCTCAGAGCTGGTTCTGGATCAGCAGAAAGGGATGAAGAAGGGGCAGGGTGAGCTGGAGTGCACCACTGTGGAAACCATTCCCCACCCGCCGCCTCGGATGGGGTACCTTTGTCTGTTTGGAGAGAGCAACTCCATCCCACCCTTGAAGACTAGCAGGTCAAGAGCACAGGGGCCAGGGTGGGAGTGGGGCATGCTCCCTGATGTGTTGGTGGTCAGTTACCAGAAGATGCCGACTGTGTTCTCCTGTTTCAAAATTTCTAACTTGCTGAGAATTTTCTGATTTATAGAGCAAACGCAGTTGAAGTTAGACTGACTGACCCTTCGCGCACGTAGGATTCACCATCCTGAGGGTTCATGCTGTCCCTGTCTGACAGGTGGCATTTCCTCTCTAGTGTGGGAATTGGAAGCTGGCATGTGGTCACATGGCGGGCACAGCCACTCCCCTCTTCTATGCCCCTAAAGAAAGAACTCCTGTGAGTATTTGAGATTTTCCTGGTTCCACCCCTTGTTGCTGTTGCTAGCTGCCCATGGAATCGACCCCGACTCATGACGATCCCATGTGTGTCAGGGTAGAACTGTGCTCCGTCAGGTTTTCCAACAGCTAATTTTTTGGGAGTAGATTGCCAGGCCTTTCTTCCAAGGTGTCTCTGGGTAGATTCAAACCTCTGACCTTTCAGTCAGCAGTTCAGCGCTCGAGTGCTTAACCGTTTGCACCACCCAGGGACTCCGTGTCCCCTGATGGATGCTTCTAAGCCTGGCACTTCCGAGGGCAGGGCAGTAACTCTAGGACACATGGGAGACTACAAGTCAGTCACAGGGACCCTAAAAAAGGGCCTCAAGGTGACACACGCCTCTTCGTTTCTGCACTTCGAAGAGTTTTCGGAACAGCCCTTACGCCCTTTTGGAACGGTGTGAGGAGAAACGGGGCAAAGAGGAGAACATGGGCGTGTACGCGCTGAGCACGCGCTACAAGTTGTACTCAACGGGTTGAGCAGCGTTAGTTATTTGCAAGCGAAGCAGCGACGCGGGGGTTAAAGCCGCCTGCAGCTCCAATCGCTCCCGGCAGGGGGCGCCGCGCCCTGAGCACGCAGGCCCGGCAGTCTCGCTCGGCGGGCCCTCAGGCGGCCGGCGCCCCTGACGTCACCGTCCCGCGGTCGCCAGGGCGACGGCCTCGTCAGTGCGCGCGTCAGAGCCGCCAGTCTCTTGGCAACCGCCCGATCTCCCGTTCTCCCTCCGCCTCGCGCGCGGCCGCGCGTCGCTCTGGCGTCAAAGAGACGTCAATGAGAATGTATCAGTCTGGCGGCGGCGGTGGGGCGGG